TGGCCACACTCCCTCTGCTCCAGCAGGGCTTTCTCCCTTCTCTGCCCTTTGGCAGTGGTTGGCAGGCATGCTCTAGTGCCCCCTGGCTTCTGGCTTGAACCACTACAGGCATCTGGCTGCATTTCCTGAATCAAAAGTGAATGTGTGTTCATTTGCTTACTGTTTCAATCTAGGCAGCTTAAACTAACCTGCAAAGACTGAATCAATTCAGCCTCAGGCTTTTTGATTGTCTGTATTTAGCCCTATTGTGTTACAGATTTGAACCAGTTTCCATACACTTACACCAGTTTATGTATAATTTCTGTCCCTAGCCTAAGTGGTTAAAAGCACTATAAAAAGTGAATGGACTGACAACGCCCAGGCACAACAACTACAAATCTGCCTCAAACCATTTAAGAAATGACCCTAATTGACATGGAATAACTCTGAAGACTTTCAGGTTATGCCTATTCTCCCCACAACATCTTGTGCACTCCCTATTAAAAAGGAATTTTTAAAAGCATTTCTGTAGAAAGGTGCAAGAGAAAGTCATACACTCAGGTTGTTATCAAGTACTTTAATTCTTCGAGGACAATGGCAAAAGAAAGAAAGCAGAATAAAAGGAGCAAAATTTTCCGTTAAGTAAATAATACCTTTCCAAGTATCAAGTCAGTCAGTCCAGACTTTTTTAGGAAAACCGCAGCATCAGAAGCCAACACTCTTCCAGTGTTAGCTGTATCAACCTGTAGAAAAGGATTCACTACTGATTAGCTATTTGCATTGCTCCTATACATTTCTATAATAAGCTACCAGAGAAGATTATATTCTTATATTAATGATGATTACATTTTTTCACGTATTTCTCTAGCATTTTACACTAGAAGAAACCACACAGTAGAATGCCACAATATTTAAACATTAACATTTTTATTGGACTACATCTGTGCGTGTACAACAAACCAAGTTAAACCAGGGGCCTAACGTATAATTTGTTCATGCCAATTTTTTATTACTTGAATGCTATCACAGATGTACAAGAAACCATACACCTTAATAGTATATTCCCCTGTGGTGAAAACACTTCCATTCCAGTTTACACATACATTTAGCTGTAGTATATTCATATTAAACATTAAGTCAACTAATTAAAATAAAATCTTAGCTACATTTAAGATATTCAGCATACATCTTCAGCCTTATCTCAGTACAAGTAATATTTACATCTAATTATTAAAAAATTCTGAATGAGCTTTCTATCAC